ACATGAGTGGATTAATAAAATGTGGTATATGTATACCATGGAGTACTATTCAGCTTTAAGAAACAATGGTGATATAGCACCTCTTGTATTCTCCTGGATAGAGCTGGAACGTATTCTACTGAGTGATGAAGTATCCCAAGAATGGAAAAACAAGCACCATGTGTACTCAACCATCAAATTGGCATTAACTGATCAACACATAAGTGCACATATAAGAATAACATCTATTGGATGTCAGGCAGGGGGGAGGGGGGAAGAGGGGACGGGTATATGCATACACAAAGAGTGCAATGCGCACCATCTGAGGGATGGACACACTTGAAACACGGACTTGGGGGGGGACGCAAGGGCAACATACGTAACCTAAACATCTGTACCCCCATAATATGCTAAAATTAAAATAAATTAAAAAAAAAGAAAAAAGGGTGATAGAAAAAATATAGAGCATGTCGAAGTGTCAGACAAAAGAATTGTGTCAGAATATAAGATGAACTAGGATATACAGGGATGATGTCAGACTTTAGAATCTTAGGCATTTTTCTTGTTAACAGTTTGCAATGGAAGTAAATGATACTGTTTTTTTCAGTTTTTATACAGTCTCGAGGTTTTAAAACTTTGAAATCAAGGACACGACGTCTGCAATCCACCTCTGAAAGATTAGCCGAAACACAGAATATAGCACCATCATTCGTGAAGGTAATTAGACTTTTTTGATATGTTCCAAAAAGCAAATATTTTCAAGTTATAGAAACAATGAGGACCTTCAATATGTGATTTCTTTTGTTGGCAGGTAGATTTTCTGCCTTCTTTCCACTTACGATAAGGGATTAATGACCTCGTGTCTCCACTTGTTAGACATTCCCTCTGATTTTTTTCCCCCACCAACCTATACCTGTTTAGGTGTTCTCTGATGACCAACATCCACCCAAGCTAGAAACCTGGTGATCAATCTAGATTTGTCCATCTTTCCTCACCTCCCACATCCGTTAATCACCGAAGTCCTGTTGTTCCAACTTCCTAAGCATTTCTTAAATCAGGTTTACTGCCATAGATAGGCTATAACCATTTCTTGCCTGCATTACTCTAATACTCACTGAGTCTCCTTTGCCCCTTATCTTGCTGCCTTCAGTCTGGCATGTAGACTGCTACCCAGTCAGTCTTTCTCAAATGATGATCTAATTATTGTCAACTTCATTCTGGTACACAGGGCATTTAATCATTTTGCATTTACCTACCGTTTTTCTATTCTCATTCTTCAATATTCCAGTCTGTTCCCCTGTTCACCTCTCTTGGCATTTAAGTCTTGTCATGTAAGATTGCTTTCTTCGGTTCTTAAGCATCGAAGGCTGTTACTTCATACCTCTGTCAGATCATTCATAGTGTTAGTTCCTTGTGGTTTAGATGTCCCCTTCTGTATAAGGCCTTTCTTACCTTCCTTAGGTAACATTCATTTTACCACCATAATAGTACTTCCAATATAATATCAAAATGATTTTAAAACTTAGTTATTTACGTATCTTTCCCGAGTGGTCTGAAAACTTTCAGATCAGTTGCTTATTTATCTTTACATCCTCAGAACTTACACAAGGCCAGGTATATGAAGGGCGCTTAGTAAACATTTACTAAACTGATGAGGTTTTTTCCTCTGGCAGAGGTAAAGGGGTGTGAACATTGAGCCATTAGAACCCTAAGGTAACACACGGCCTAGTAACTGTTTTAAGTATTCATGTTCTTACAGAGAATGATGCCACTTTATATTATCAATTAATTGATACAGATATATGATCTGATGTTAGTTTCCTAGTCATTGGTTAAGTAATTCATTGTAGAGTGTTAACCTATTTCTT